CAACTTCAGCATTGCAAATGTGTCATTACAAATAGCATATATTTAAATAGCACATGGCATACAAGTTTAGAAAGCAATGATAGTAAAATATAGGCTATTTTAGTTTACCGTAAATGCTTGCCAGTACATTCAGCAGTAACCATATTTAAACAACAGAATATTTATGAGACAATAGAATTATGAAATTACCTGTAAAGATGTCATGTAAGTGGGTCAAAAAATACTATTAAGTTCACCTAATTGCATATATTGTGGGCGCGGCCATTTGTAAATTCTATGGGTCTGGCTTCCAGTCTCATCTGCGTCCACTCCGTCCAGCTATATTTAGCTGAACAAAACAGTTCGTTTTGCTGCTTGATATTGAAAGTTGGTGTGTCTTATCATATTATTTTAATGTATTATCTTAATTATGAACACACTGGTTTGTAGTGCAAACAGTTTTACCGTTTACTGCACGTTGTTATTCTTCTCCTTAATGAACCGGAAGTCTCACCCATAGGCTTACTTCCGCGTTGAAGAAAAAGGTGGATAGCCTAATACATTTTCATGTAGTTGCAAATAACATGCAATAAACTTACACTATATTCTTTAAATATGTATGATTCTACTCTCTTTGAAAATATGCTCTTCTTTTTACGATGACTTAATGCATCCACTAAAAATACCACACCAGTTGAAAAGTATTGCAAAATTTGAATATACTCTTTGGTGTCACTGTGTGTGTGAAAATGCATAGCCTAGTTCAGCTCTACTGAGCTATATTCAGATGGCTATGATCCATATTTATCTACTCGCTGTTTCTGAAAAAATAAGGAGAGAACACCCATACTCTGAAAGAGAACACTCACATTCAGAACATTCATATGAATTAACTAATCTTAACAGCAGGCCTACTAACTAGCATGCACTTCAATGTTAAATGTAAGATCCACACATCTTTCTGTGGAGTGAGTTAATGTATTTATTTATTAATTTTTTATTACAATTATTTTGGCTATACTATTTGTTTGTTTAATAGAAACAGCAGTTAAAAAGAAGTCCAAACTGTTTTACAATGACAAATTCAACAGTTAAATAATGGATGTTATGCAAATGTTCATAAGGGAGATTGGAAATAGCCATTTAATGTAATTTGGGCACTTTGCTGAAAATATCTTTTAAGAACATGGCAGATCTCTATGAATAATTAAGTGGAGTGGAATGACTAATAGATTTGTAGTTTCCTGAGGGTGTAAAGTTGGCCCTCTACTGGGACATTCGGCAGATCAGAAAGAAGCATACACTCATTTAAATCCCAGGACATTTTGGCTCACACTCAATTGTGAAATGAAATGTTAGTGTTTAAATCTGTACAGGTAGAATGGATTGATCCCTGATATAAAAATGAATAATCCTTAAGCAAATGCCTCTTTCTCTCAAAATGTTGCCATTCTTTCAAAGCCTGTACTGAAAAACAGAAAATGATTACAAGGCTGCAACGACTAAGTAAAACCAAACTAAAACTGCGACATCTGGTGGTGTGGTGGTGGAGCTGCTGGATGAGATATTACAATTATCTATAGCCTACAGATGTTTGTTGATGTTGTAAATTTAATTTCTACTGAATTTTGACATGATCAATTAGAACATATGATTTATGTAAAGGCAGATGAAATGACATTTACATTAAATGTTACCCAAGAAATGTTCAGTCTATTTCAGTAGACAGCAAAGAACATGGATTTTATAGAGAATAATTTGGTTATAATGTGAAAATTGTCCTGCAGCATGACAGTATTGAACACTAACTGTGACTTACAGTAAAAAGTATTATATAAGTACACTTAAATAATGTAATGAATGATCAGTTCAAAAGCGTGTATAACATTACATCAGTGTGCAAGTTTTTTCTTCGCATTTATTGATCAACCACAGACATAGAAAATGCATTGAATGCAGGACACAAATAATGATTCAGAGCGGAGGACGTTTCCTTGATAAAAAAGCATTGGTGTAATATAACATGGTCTTAATACAAATACAAAAACTGGGGCAATACAAACATTGCATCACAAATACCTTCATGTGAAAGGTTCACATTTTTTTATGGAGAGCAAATCAGCAGAATGGCTAACAACACAAAGCCTCGAACTGTTCTGAAACACACCCAAACTAGAAAAGGCACAAATGACATTTACAGTGAGGTCAGGGTTAGCTTTCAAGTGGATTCGGTTTCAATAGAGGATTCAGTCATTTTACTGAATTCATATTTTTAATAACTCATGGACAGGTAGGCAGCCTGATGTATGAAAGCTTGGTGTCAAGTATCATGAACAGACTATGCCAAATTCTACATTATACATTATGTAAGATTTGTCAGGGCAAAACAGCATTAAATTGTACTATAATTTGGTCTTTTTTACAGTGTATTTTCTTTTGGTTTTGAGTCAGAGGTAAACTGTATGCATGTTAAATCCACAATTAATCAAACACCAGCCATCCAGCATTTTCTAGTGACTCAAAAGTAAGAGGAAGGATTTTGTACATTCAGAATGCACCCTTACTTATAGCTAACACAACTCCTCAAGCATAATATCAGTTTCAATAAATTGTGTCATTTTGCTAAATTCGAGGTCAATGGAAAACTAAATGCATTAATCTCAGGCTGAGTGGCAGTGAAAGCTGTATAATGGATGTAAACTTCATATTGCATCAACAAAACCCCAAGTAAAAACATTGTAATAAAGCATAGAACACCAAACAAAGATATTTAAACAGTCAACCATGGCAAAAAATGGAACACTTACAATGCAACAGAATAACGGGAAGTCATCAAATAATTTAGAAACATACATAAACATACAAAAATGTATTACACTTGCAAAACTGAACATTATATGCAACACTTCCATAACACCAAAGATATATCACTTGCTGGGTTAATAAAAGTATCTTTACAGTCTCATGTATCTGCAGAAAATTATATCGTTAATGCAACTCATAGAAAAAAATTACAAGTAAAATAAATCAAAAGTAATTCTGAAACAAAACTGAATTCAAGTTCAAACTGAAACCTTCACAAACAGCCCTTACTATCATCTAAATCCTTAAGGGAGCAAAAATGTACCTGACAGAGTGTTGCAACACTAAAAGCATAAATACATGTTCACTTACTAAGGCGAGGTGTTTCAATAGCATACACATTTCAGCTGAAATTCACTCACTCATCATCAAATAAAACATCTTTATCAAAAATCACTAATGAGATGCTTGCGAAATGTTTAATCTTAACACAGCAAACATCAATATCAACACTATAATGCATTTGTAGCTATAAGTATGTTTGTGTACACTTGGATTACAGCTATTGACCAAACACTTTCTATATTCATAATACATGACATATTTCTTTTAAGATGTAAAGCGATAATAAATACACATTTAGAAAAATTCTGATACAACCAGTAACTGTTAAGAGTTTTATATGATTGTGAAGGCCATACAAATTTAAATACTTGTTTAATAGACTTCAGTTTAGTAGTTTGAGAAGTAAAAACAGCAGACTTCTTGTTTGTGTGTGTGTTAAAATTGACAATATGTGGTTGTGACAACCAACTTGCCCCTGATCTCCTATTAGCCCTGATCAAAAATACAAGTTATCTACAAAGTTCAAGTTCATTTTGAATGTTAAATGGTTATTAAAATATGTATGGCCTAAGGGAGCATAGCACAAATGGAATGCTTAAGAAATTGTGATGGTTCCAGCCAGTGAGACGACAACCCTGAGAGCAAGAGCTTTGGCTGATCAGTCCAATGAACAGATGGCTAATTTACAAACCTTGACCAGTGGTATACAGACCATGAAGCTGAGATTTGATCACAATTATTATCACAAGATGCGCTAAATGTGTATTATAGTTAATGCAAAAGTGAAAAGTCTGTCATCATTTACACCCTCATGTCGTTCCAAACCTGTATGATTTTCTTTCTTTCACAGAACATGAAAGGAGGTATACAACATTTATAGTACTTTATTGTTGTATTTTGTTATTTGTGAAGCTGGACAGTCCCAGTTCCAAAAAGTATGGAAGCTTGTTTCCACCAAGGGATGGATGGATGGATGGATGGATGGATGGATGAATGAATGAATGAATAAATAAATAAAATTAATTGTGACTACTTATCTCACAATTCAATTTTTTCCTCACAATTCTGAGAAAACAGTCATAATTGCAAGATATAAATTCACAATTGTGAGAAAAAAGTTGCAATTGCGATAAATAGAATTGCAAGATGTAAACTCAGAATTCATAGAGAAAAGTTATAATTTCAAAATATAAACTCAGAATTGCAAGGGGAAAGTCACAATTCTAAGTTTACATCTTAGAATTCTGAGTTTTCTTTTTTCTCATAATTTCAAGAGAATAAGTCCAAATTGTGTTGATGTCATGTTAAATTTCTCCAAACCTGTTTCAATCTACATCTTGGATAGATTGAGAGTGAGTACATTTTCAGCAGATTTTAATTTTTGTATGAACTAATCCTTTAATGCACTTGTCAAAAGAACAAAAGCAGTCAAAAGTCATTATAATAACAAACAATTTGTATTCAAAATACTATTTAACTTACAATCTGCAAAGCAGTGGAAAAAGTGGTCTTCAGAATCAATCATACATGTGAATTGAGCAAATAGTTCTAACTGGCTCAGAGAAAGACAGGAATCATGTCTTTATGGCAGTTTTTCTGCTTACAATACAAGACTTCTTCACCTTGCAAATGGTCGTCGAAAGAAAAAAAAAATCTATTAAAAGCACATATCATATTTTGTGGAAAAATGTGAGGTGCCAGTGCAAAAAAAGACACTAGTTTTGGAATCAGCACCTCAAAATTAGAAAGAAACGTATTTGATTTCATTCAACAAATATGATGCAGGGTACTGTAATCAACAAATTAGAAAAAAATCAATGCTATTTCTTACAAAAATCTAATGTTGCAAATCTAGAACTTAGAAATTAACACTCTTAATCATTATTAATGATTATCTTAATACTCTTAACACATGTATACCTTTCATGGAAGAAGAACACATAGGCAGTTCCTCCAGAGGCCATCACCCAGACCACCCAACGCATATGGGCAGCCCATGGACCAAGATCCCGCAGCGTCAGCCTGCCATAAATACATTAGATTCTTAATTAAAGGTATTCTGAACATCAAACTATCTGTGAAAGTCTCACCGTTTAATTTTCAGGATATATAAATGCTCATGATATAAATCCTAAATGCACTGTACAGTATGTCAATTTGGATAAAGAAGTTTGTCAAATAAAGAAATAAAAGTATAATTGACATTTATAACTCAAAGCTATGCAACTGTGTATCAAGTAGGACAAGTTAAAATGACTAAAACCCAAAGCAACGAAAACGCTGTTTATTTAACTAAATATGTGGGAATTGTTTTAAACTGTATCAGTTTAACATTGTTCAGAAAATTATCTACATTTCTGAAAACACTGGTTTGGCTTGACATCATATTTGAAATCAAATCTAAATACACTGTTGTAAGTTTAAGCAGCAAATAGTTTTTTACAACATTATTGGTGATCCAACATTTTTCTGTGGAATCAGAATCTTTGGCACCATCAGTATTTTAGCTAAAATCTCCCCATTCACACATCTTAGTGGAAACAAACTGAAAAATATTGGCATGAACCCTCGGTCACGTATAAACCCTTGGTCTTTACATTGTTATCCATCTCCCCACCCGGAACTCAGTGTTAATTTATGAAAGCTAAACACAAATCCATTAATCCCCAATGCAGACTAAAAACCAATTTCTCAAATTGCTGCAAAAACATCATTCACTCTCGACATGTGCTCACCAAGGTGTGTAGGACGCTGCAATGAAGAAATAGATCACCATCCTGTCGCACATGTGGAAACAGTGCTCAACCGATCTAAAAAGTAAAGTAACAGATATTAGATTTAACTTCTCCAGTTCATCTGTAAATAAATACGAAGCTGGATTATCATTTAGGCCTGAAAGATGATGAGATTGCAAGTACACTTACAGCTACACAAGCTTCATTTCAAGAAATTAAACAAAACATACACTTGCAACTCGTTAGACAGATATTCATGTTCAGGTTCACAGTACACAAACTGAAAATGAACTATTCAAAAACCTCAAAAAGCTTTAGGTCATACTCTTACCGGAGATGAGACTTTTTCCAGGAGATAGTATGGAAAACTGTGGATATGATGAAAAGGCTTGATAGGCCTGCCCCATAGAGCCATGCTGAAATCTCCTCCCAGTGGTCATCAGATAAGAGGTACAACAAGATCCCACCCACAATGCTGGGAATGATCCAGAGCTGAGAATAAAATACAGTCACAGATCATGATCACCAGTGTGAACTGTAGAGGAAATAATTTCAAAATAATTATATATACATAATTATCATTAAAGGAATAGCTCACCTAAAAATGAAAATTTGCTTAAAATGTACTAACCCTCAGGCCATCAAAAATGTAGATGAGTAGGGTTGAAAAGGGGCAGAAAATTTCTGTAAAAAAAAAAAAAATGTTTTTTAAATAAAGTTCCAAATTTCCCCCCAAAATCCTGGAAACTCCAAAAATTCTAGAAAGTTTCCAGAAATTTACCAAAAATTTCCAGAGGATTTCTGCTTCTTTGCAACCATGTAGATAAGTTGTTTCTTCATCGGAACAGATTTGGAGAAAATGTAGCATTCCATCACTTGCTCACCAATGGATACTCTGCAGTGAATGGGTGCCGTCAGAATGAGTCCAAACAGCTAATAGAAACATCACAATAATCCACAAGTAATCCACACCACTCCAGTTAATAATGCCTTTAAGTGAAAAGCTGTGTTCATAAGAAACAAATCCATCAAGACGTTTAAATTTTAAATCTTTGCTTCAGTCCAAAATATGAGTCCATAATCCTGTTGTCCTCTCACATCATAATCCACCAACATATTTGTATAGAACTGTTTTGGACTGTTTGCACTAATAAATAGTGCTTGATCTGAGCATATTTCTCTCCTGTATTTTGGCCAGAAGCAACAGTTTGAAGTTAAAAACGTCTTGATGCTGGATTTGTTTCTTACAAACACACAGCTTTTCATTTCACATTGAGACATTGATTGATGGACTGGTGTTGTGTGGATTACTTATTGTGATGTTGTCTTCTGATGGCACCCATTCACTGCAGAGATCCATTGGTGAGCAAGTGATGTAATGCTACATTTTTCCAAATCTGTTCATTTGAAGAAACAAACTCATCTTCACTTTGGATGGCCTGAGGGTGAGTAAATTTTCATTTTTGTGTGAATGATTCCTTTAAGACTGTAAACACACAACTCACCGCATGCGTGGCACAGTTAGCAGCGTGCTCATATTCTGTTGGCTGATATCTCTTATTAGATGGTGCACGATTGTTCATAAATCTAAAAAATAAAAAAAGAGCTAGAAAGTACAGGATGAAGTAATGCTAACTACAAACTAAAAAAGTAATGCATAACTTACTATTTAGTTTAATACTAACTTAAGTGTTGCTCCTGAAATGAATGAATGTTGTTTAACTAAATCAGTTATTTTAAATTGGTCATTTCAATAAAATCTTTCTAATAAATTCTAAAGTTCCCAAGGGCTTGATGTACATATTCAACAGATGTATGAAAACAAAAAAACTGCCTTTTTCAATTAAATGTATGCATTATTGTATTATTGTATGTATTGTTTTATTGTAATTGCTAATGAGTTAGTCACCATGTAGGTCAAATGATCATGTGACTGACAATAACTTTTGCTGTTTGCTGGCAGAGGCTAATAATCATAGAGAACCACAGCAAAGGAGTCTTTCATCCTTACACACATCTCTGCACAGCGCTGATGTCACTGTTGTCATGGAAACATACTAGACTGTGATGAAAAGGGAATGAGGCTGTGTGTGGTTTCTTTTTCTTCTTCTTTTGTACCACAAAGTGACACCTTGAATTCAGGACCACTATTTTACATTACAGTTTTTATGCCAAATAGAGAAACTCCAGTATAATAAACCTAGACATTCCTAGAAATGTGATGCAATTATGGACAATTCAGTTGTAGCAATGTATTACAAATAACTTCACTTTAATTAGTAGAATGATTAGTACATAATGTTCCTAAATGTCAGTCTCACATGTTCATGTTTAGAAGGGTTGAATACTAAAAAGAGATTGGAGTAGCTATTTGCCAAAAAAAAAAGAAAAAAAGAATAACAGTAGTTGTGAGCATACAGCAGCATGATGATGTTAAACAATATAGACTGAAATCTGCAATTAGGTCAGACAGAACTGATTTGACTTTTAGTATGGTCGTTTCTCTTAATGACCACATCTAGTTCAACACATAACACACACATCTGTCCTAATTTCTATTGTTAGTAACCCAAATAACATGGCCTAAATTTGTTCTAGTATTAAATTTACTGGTCACTCAGTCAACATTTGCTGAAACTCATGCACCCCACAAAAAGACAATTGAGTTCATCTTTTAATGATGTTGGCTTAATGTTTTGTGACAATCACTTGTGGAATTGCTAGAACAAGATGATGTCTAAATGAATTTAATCCAAATTTATATATATATATATATACAAAGTACTCAACTCTATTACTTGAGTGAAAGTACAGATACTGCTGGTCAAATATTACTCCATTACAAGTAAAAGTTGTAAAGACAGATTTTTACTTAAGTAAAAGTACAGAAGTACTTGCTTTTAAAAGTACTTAAGTACCAAAAGTAAATTTCCTTTTTTTATGTAAATGCCCTGTTTTATTGTTGTACGTAATACTTGCAATACTTCTGATGCAACTTAGAATACATTACACCTACTAGCTTGTAGTATCTTTGGAATAAAGAGCTTTTAGAATGTTAAAAACCTATGGGGGAAAAAATTAACACCCCTACCCACCCCCACAAAAGCAGGATGGTAGTGATCTCACACAGCTCTGACAGTGTGTGTGCACACATCTATGTGTAGTGTTATTCCTGTGTTATAACTGTGTTATTACTGTATTATTACTCTGTTATTCCTGTGTTATTACTGTGTTATTCCTGTGTTAGTAGTGTGTTATTCCTGTTATTCCTGTGTTATTCCTGTTATGCCTGTGTTATTCCTGTGTTTATTACTGTGTTATTCCTGTGTTATTGCTGTGTTATTGCTGTGTTATTCCTGTGTTATTTCTGTGTTATTACTGCATTATTACTGTGTTATTACTGTGTTATTCCTGTTTTATTAGGGAATTATTCCTGTGTTATTACTGTTATTTCTGCTATTACTGAGTTATACCTGTGTTATTTCTGTGTTATTACTTTGTTAATCCTGTGAGATTTCTGAGTTATTACTGTGTCATTCCTACGTTATTTGTTATTCCTGTGTTATTAATGTGTTATTACTGTGTTATTAATGTGTTATTCCCGTTTTATTACTGTGTTATTACTGCATTGTTACTGTTTTATTTCTGAGTTATTACTGCGTTATTACTGCGCTATTACTGTGTAGATTACTGTGTTATTAATGTGTTATTCCTGTTTTATTACTGTTATTCCTGTGTTATTTCTGTTATTACTGTGTTATTCCTGTTATTACTGTGTTATTCCTGTTATTTCTGTTTTTCTGTTATTACTGTGTTTTCCTGTGTTATTAATGTGTTATTCCTGTGTTATTTCTGTTATTACTGATTTATTCCTGAGTTATTTCTGTTTTATTTCTGTGTTATTCCTGTGTTATTACTGCGTTATTACTGTGTTATTACTGAGTTAATCCTGTGTTATTAC